GCAGTCACATGGCATGCAGACAAACAATCGAACAACATGCATCATGCGAACTTTCTAAATAGCCTAGGTACAATATGCAACTGTGTGTTTTGGAACTATTTTACACATCATACCGCAGGCATGCAAGTGAAATCTCCAAGTCGATACAAAGCACCTAGCAACTGTTGCATTTGAAGCAGCAGATCTGATGGTCGCTTATCACCTAACTGCAGATCTCTATATAGTTATTGTAGCCTCGCTCTATCATACGATATGATCCGTTTGATAACGGCTTCCTTTAGAGCTTCGTACTCATGTTCAGTGGGTAAGTTCAGGAGGAGGTCACGTATTTGCATTGCGACCTCTTTAGGAAGTCGGGCCAAAAGTTGACTAAATTTTGCTTGGTCTGCGGTGATACGCTGGTTGAAGAACTCCGCCTCCAACTACATAAACCACAAAGCGAGTTCCATGTCTAAGAACTGAGGAACAGTAATGGTGACTGCTCCAATTGTCGGCTTCTTTTTGATGTCCATTGTCAAATAAAGCAAAAATGAAAGAACTATATACTCAATATAAAAATCAGCAAAACAGCTACGTTTATATATATGAACAAATAATAAAATAAATATCAACTAAGGTCCCAGGAATAAAAACTGTCTACCGGGTCTAATAAATTTCGGGTTGACTAATTTGCTGCAGTGAACCGAAGAAAAAGGTTGCTGAAAGAAAGCCGATTAATAAACGGCCTCACCAAATTGTGGTGAACCGAAACAGGTGCTGAAAGAAAATCGATTAATAGTCGGGATCACCAAATTGTAGAGGAGTGGAACGTTTCTGTATAGAACCGTGCCTACTTTCCACAATAATTAAACCAGAAAACCGATTAATGGACAACGACGTTTATTGCAAATAGACAGTAGTAAGTAACCGGAAATTGTTATTGTTAATGGTGACCTTGGGCGGTCGAACAAACGAAAAAATACAGACATGCGACCAAACAATGTTAATTGTGTCAACAGTCAAAATAAAGAGCAAAATGGGTTGAATACGTGGCAAACCAAGTATGTCACTACAAATCTATACGGTGGAACATATCCGCCAAACGGTGATATTTTTATACAAGTTACACGATAATGAACTTAAGAGTCTCTTGTTACAGTTGCAAGGCATTCTGGGTTGCTTACCACCATTCTGGTGGTTATCGGACTCAAAAGACCAACCTGGAGCACTCACATAATTTCTAAGTTGGTCATATGTAAATATATATCTACCCATAAATAGTTGTTTGGATGTATATATATATGCATATGTAAATGCAGGTAGATAAATATTTACCCACATACTCGCATGTACATATATGAGTATATCTATATATGTATGTATATACAATGAAAATTGTTCATAAACATAAATATATACATACATCTATATTTATGTATATATCTGTGTCCATTGATATAATTGTGCACGTATATTTAAAGGAATGTATTTATTTTCATGTATTTTACGTTATCTTTCATATGCTTGCATACCAACATACATAAATACGGTCGCTTTTGTTACGGGTGCATGTCTTGCCCCTTCCTTGTCCTTCCTTTCACCAGCACTATTCCCACACTGAGCTACTTATTTCTGCATTAACCAATCAGAAGATGTGGCTTCAAGGTCAGTGAACGTATAATCAAGGTGTTCGAACAAACTTTCCCATAGATGAAAGGAGTTACCAGTAGCTTAGAATTGACGTAACTCGAACGAAGGATATTATTAAGTTCAAGGCCGACGTAAACATTGTCACCAGAAGTCAGGAAAGTGTGCGAACTTCAGGTCATCGTATAACAATTGTTGGCCACGATCTACGCGTACAGTGTTATACACTTGTCCATTGCCCGACCAATTGCTCTTCAAAGCCCTACCTAGAAGTGAAGCCATGTGTTGCTTGGATTCTTGAGTGCAGTGAGGCACCGGGGCTATACTGAAAAGCGGCAGATCTCTGTCTTAGATCGTTCACAACCTGACAGCATTGCTACATAGACGAAGAGGCGGTAGACAGTTTCTAGTCTGACAACGAAGAGCCCTGAAAGACAAAAGCGGCTCGACGGAGATGGGATTCGAACCCACGCGGGGAAACCCCAATGGATTAGCAGTCCATCGCCTTAACCACTCGGCCACCCCGTCGACGATACCTCACACCATGTTCAAGTATTTCATGGTTGTTGATGCACTAGCTCACCACACGACGATCTCTGTTCATGCTTAAACGTTAATCACTGACTTCCGGTAAATTCGCATCTGTTTAATCTACCACGTGATGCATCTCATCACATGCTTGCGGTCCAAATAAGTGATATATGAAAATACTGCGCAAACAATTATTGACTCATCTAACTGTGATAAGCTGTGATTAGTCACTTTTTGAGGTGTCACCATTTACAGAGCTGTATGAAATTTACACATAACCAGCTATCTGACGTGGCCGATGGTGTATTCAGGACAGTGGTTTTGTCCACTCAACTGAATTAATTCAGTCACGTCGGACTCACCAATTGTTGGAACCAGTCCAACAGAATAATACCCAGTCAGTACTCGCTACCGAAAACCGATTGACAATGAAGAACGAAGACTCAGCACGTTGACTCCCCATGTATTAGTATCGACTCTAGAAAATAAAGTGCACATAGAAACATATCAAGCTAACGAGGCACGGAATGAGTCGTGATTGCAGCCCTGGGACGGGTATTACAAAATGGATAGTTTACTAAAACAAAAGTAGGTAAAAAACCAAAAACTGAACTTGGCACATAACAGTGCTTGATCGGAATCCACGCAGTTGTCTCAGATTGACTTGGATTCTTAGAAACAACCATAACACTGACAGCTGACTACCATGTGGTGAATCTTTGTCCGCGACTAACTCAGCAATGGGGTCGCCAGGTGGCGCACTGACGCTTACAGCATCGAAAATCAGTGTTTGTCAGAAACAGGCCGTTAGCAGCCTAGAACTGCAGTAAACATTCACCGTCATCTGTTCGACGAGTGCTATGGGAGTGTGAGCCACCTAAGTCGCGCTGGTCCGCGCTGAGCCTGTGATCTTGAGCGTTCAAGTCTCCAGCCATTACCATCGTGTCCATGCGCAGCGCGATGTGTAGTAGATTAGTGAGCTGGTGATAAAAATAATCTTTGATTGTGTCTGAACTCCAGTCCGCGGGGACAAATATCGTAACAACAAACAAATAACGTTTGTGGTGAGCGCCTTTAGATAATCCAGCAGTACCTTCGGGTATGACAATGCAAAAACGGCTCTTAACGGGTATCCAAACAGTCAACGCTTTTCTGTGCATGAAGTTAGGGGAATTCCAACTCCTGCTTGGTCAGTGCCTTCAGCCGCAAGACCTCCAGACAAGCGCACATTATACGCGCGTGATGGAGCTGCTAACAGAGGTTGAAGTTGTAGCATTGAGCTAGAATCCTGAAGCCGTATTTCAACAAAAATGATTATATCAATGACAAATGTTTCTAATTTACATGAACGATCTGAGTATTGGCCTATCTACATAAGCGGTCGAAGATTAAGGGTTGTAAATTTAAATTGTTTTGGGGGCAGTAGGGTTCTGTCAGGCAAATATTGGTGCTTAGCACACAAACATTCTGGCTATGGCTTCCGTCATGGAGAGTAAATGAGGTACATCTCTGGTGTGCGCAGAAAAATGAGGGTTAGGGTTGTTAAGTAAGGTAATATGTAACAGAGGAGGGGAAAATGAGAAGGACTGTTTTTTGGGGTAGAATGTGACATGAGCGGAAGGCCGGTCGCCGACACTTTGGCGAAAGTTGTATGACAGGAATATGTTAATGAAGCTTCGGAATTTCATAAATGTTTAGACAAGTTGCCTCTCAATTGCCCACACCGAGAAAAGAGGTTGACTTGACGGGTCTCCTCATAAGCATTTGAGTTTAAAAAACCTGACCCACAAGACAGCAGGGCAAAGCACAATGTTCACAGTGTACTGGGGGCCGATGACCAATAGTGATCCGGCTAATACGCCCTTCGGATGGAATCCATCCATCTCGTAGAATGGCCAGTGTGCTCTGCATGAAGTGACTACAGGAGAAACGTGATAGGTCAAGGATCCATCAAGGAGGGTGGACCTGTTGCAGTAGATTGTTCAGCCTGTGAGTCCAAAATTAAAGGGACTGTTGCGACGCCAGTTAGCAAGTTGGTTCATTGTAATAATCGGAATTAGGGACTTCGAATAGCTCTAGAAATCGTGATGGAATTAAACCTCGTACTGGTCGCAATAAGCAGTTATTCTTCATGAGACTGTATTAAAGAGATCGGAGTCTGTCATTGATTAACCATAATGGGACAAACTGTAATTACTTGGTGTAATACAGAACGAAGAACTTAGCGAATATGGAAACGGCGAAACATTTAGGCTGTTCGTCCAATCCTAACAGGGTAGCTAAACGCGACGTTTGGATTAGTCCCTTGTTAGATCTTTTACTCTGTCGGGGGTGGGATAAGCGGTGAATCGAGTGGGTTTTCATCCCATCCAAATACCCTTCGAATGGTATGCACCCATTCATGATACTCGGTACACTTGTTGGACCCGTTGAAGCCGATGGTTACCAAGGTGATTCGTACGCTTTCCTAGGGATCTACCCATGGTTGGGGGGGGGACTGAAGATGCCCGTACGCACATCAGACGGACGGCATATTGTCCGGGATCATAAATATTGCCGTTAGGGCACATAACATTCTCCTGTGGCGGGATAACACAAGCCATGTCATGGCACCTTCAGAGAGTTTATGTAACACTACGTGACATTGGACTATCAACTGTGAATCTACCACACTCTGGTGGTGGTACCACTGCTCATTGTCTGCAACTACTTACTCATAGGGGGAGTGCGGTTTATATCACACGTAGCCTTTACGCAGAAGGCCATTCCCAAATCTGCAGTTTAGGGACGCGTCCGGTAGTGTTGAGCTAGCTCACCCGTTTACACGTGTACCAGGAGCGATGAACATAAGTTCTTTCAGACTGTCTATTTCTGGTCTGAACTTATCGTATATGCCCACAGAACTTTAACTTAAAGGGTAGTTCATCCAATGAAATTTCTTTTGCCTCTGAAAAGGGGACAGTTTCAATAACCGGTCCAAAATATAGCCAAAAACCACAGCGTTCTGTTCAGCGTTATATGAGTTTTCAAGTTCGTCGTCAGTGTCTTAGGTCTTAACTGTAGCAGATTATATGCTTTAAATTACATTACTCCAGAAGAAGGTCACTATAGGGGCTCCCAGCCTGTTACCATCCCAAGCCACCTCCGTCGTGAGAGGGAAAAAACTATTGACTCAGTCCTAATTAGTGGAACCGTTCAAATCGGTTGAGACATTTTATACCGCTATGCACATTAGGGAGCCTAACTCTTTTTTTCGGTAACTGTTCTCTTTGATGTCTTGGGAATGTTTGTTCATTACGCGCCCTATAAATACTTTGTAATTGTCGCTTTTGTCGCACACGTGTTGGGGCGGAACAAAGCGGTTTTCTTTGTACGCAACCTTTGGCTTGTCTTTGGAACCAAATCGCTGGACAGTTGCAGTATTTTCGAGACCGAGGATTCTGTGTAACTTAGTACCGGGACGAGAATCCGATTTGTATCAAGCGCACCACTATATCGAGAACGAATCAGCGTATCATTTAGGAGGGTTTACAACAGTCACTGAATTGCACACCGATGCACGGAGTACAATCGTGTTTTTTTTGCTATTTCTCGGATTCGTCACTGCCAGTTGGGGGAATTTAACGACTTCAATTTGAGCTACGTTGAGTCTAATGTATCTAGTGTTTAATGGGTCAATGGAAAAGTATGATATGTGTTTGGAAGGGATAATATTCACTTGTACTGCACTGTCGAGGTGGAGTTTACAACTGTCTTTACCGGTTACCAGTTCTGCCTGAACTGTTTTTGAATTACTCCTGTAGTAAAGTTCACTGTCGGCATGTTGTCCGTCACATTTGTCATCGACAGGCTATTGACTCTGAATGAGAAACTAACGATTCTTCGACATTCTGTGTTTGCTTTTCGAAACATGGCGTGTAATCTTAATCAGAAAGTGCTCGCAACTACATAAACCAAAAATGACACTTCTTTCAGCTTAGAAGTCGACTAGTTGTGTTCAGCCAAACAAAGAATTCTTCATTCGAAAACAGTGGACAAAGCATCGGTCCGCATGGTTCGTTGCTCACAAATTTAGTTGGATCTGTATCTTTGACGTTTATATAGCAGAGTCAAACAAGGTTATCGAGATGCAGGTAACGACAGTCGCGTGCTCCTGCAACCAAGTCTGTTCTAGCTCGGGTTGACCGTGAAATGATGCATGACCCAGCAACTGGTGTGACGCAACCGATGCGACGCAAGCAGCCAACTTCTATGATCACAAGTCTTTTTCGCTTCTAGATATGAAGTCACAGCTAACGCCGTCGAAGTTATTTATGTGATAAACCATCGACAACTACTTTAGTCCTCTGAGGCTACTGCTTTTACCATATGGTAACCACTGTCTTGTCAACAGTCAGTCAGAAACTGCTGAAACTCAAGCTAGTTGAAATTGCCTTAATAATACTTCAAAATTTTGAAATTTTACTTCACTCTACTAACGTTAATAAACATCATTCGAGCTCCGATCACCTCATGACTCACTAAGGTTGTACAATTTGGCCAGGACCTTAACGTTTTCCAATTTTTAAAATCTGATTCTTACTTTTCTTAAGAAAAACTGAAGTTTTTCGAATGAATCCCTCGAATAACTCGATAAAAGTTCTTTGAACTTCTGCATTGTTATTGGTCCACCTTCCGACTCTTTATCAAAGTGGAAGGTGATGCACAAACCGACCTATCTGCCTTCCATTCGGACGGAGTACCGGACTATCACCAACCAAAATTGTTTTCAGAGTTCTTGTAGACATTTCAAAGCAGCAGTATATTTTGAGGGTGAATTTCATACTAGCTCAATGCTAACATCTTAGAATACTTTGCTTATCTCATTATTTGGAATTAAATAATCAAACCTGTGTTCAACAATATACCTGAACACACGTACTACTTAACGAGTAGGCAGACACCAAAAAGAAATACTTATGAATGATGAAGAACACCGCATGTAAGAGGAAAAGGAT